CCCCAAAACCCCAAAACCCCAAAACCCCAAAACCCCATTTGTCACGAATTTTTTGAAACACCGTGAAATTATGTTACATCACATAATTTAAATGATGTCGACAGCTAAGTAGTCAAATAGCTTGCGAAGATCCTTCCTGATTCTCTGGAACATATTGTTCATCTTGGGAGGGCCGCACACCCAGACGTTCTTTAGGTAGTCAAGTTGGCTGTTTTCCTTGAGAATGTCGTAGATAGACTGCTTGTCTAGCTTCTTGCCTCCCTCCCTTGTGAAGATTGTAGTTAATTTGAATCTTTCTTGCTCTCCAAAGTGAGAAAATAGTTCTGAGATTTTAGTTAAGATCTCCAGCCCGATGGCCTCAGTCTGAGTCTGGTAGGCAACGTAGATTATGAACTTAGCCTCTTTGAAGTAGGGCTCAAACTTCTCTTGGCTTAGCATTGAATCTGAAGGAGACTTCTCGTTGATAAGATACCTTGCGAGGTAAGCAAAGAAATCAATGAAAGGGAGAACTCCAGTCCCGCCTAGGAAAACTACATTAGTTCCAGTGATATTACCTGGAGTAAGATCTAGCCCACTCCCAAGAGGTTTAGAGATGATGAACTCATCATCTGGCTGGACATTATCAAGCTTCTTGGTTAGTCCATTTCTGGCCTGAGGATAAAACTTAATCAGAAGTTGGAGATTTTTTGAAATTTCTAAAATTTAGAGTAAAAGCACTTACGGCTAATTTCTTCAAAAGCTAGCTTCTCGTCTCCACTTTTGCCAAGAATTCTATCAATTGTGTTTATATAAACAGGGTAAATCTCCGAGTTCATAGTGTTGCAAATTGTGTAGTATCTCGATACTTTTTGAGATTCTGAATGAACTAGATAGTGTCTCCCAAATGTATTTGTTCCAGGAATCAAAACTTTGTACTGATTATCATCGTTAGAGAAAGTAACTCTATAGACTCCTTTAAAAATCTCTTCCTTCTGAGTAACTTTGAAGTGTTTATCGTAGAGCTCATGAGAGTGGTCTATTTGGATCTCCTTATTGTCAGAGGAATGTGTAACCATGTCTTTTATATCTTCAGGAATTTTTAGTTTTGCAATGGCAAGCTTCTTCATGATTTTTCCAGCAACAAATGAATGCTTATAAGCTTTCATGTTGTCATCAAGCGAGTAAGCGCCATAGAAGTACTTTCCTATTTCCTTGCCTTCTCATTCATCGAGTACATATTTTCCTCCTGGGTGATCATATTGATAAAGTCCAAAGTCAACAACATATTGATCAAAGATGGCCAATTTTCTTTTGGAGTTCAGAACTTCTTCCATAGTCATCTCAGGTAAGCCCTTACGCTCGATCTCGTCAATGTTAGTATACTTCCAGTTCTTGCTCAGTTGCCAAAGAACTTCTAAGGAAGCAAGCATGATTACCATCAAAGCAAGATGGATGTAAAACAAGTAAGTTATTGGAGAGTCATACAAGTAAAGTCCTGACAATATTGCGATTTGGGAATAGACTACCAGAAGAACTCCAACCATAACGTGGACATACCATAAATAAAATGAGATAAATGAGTATCTCTTCAAAAGAAGTCCTACAACTCTAATAGAGGATCCAGTAATGCATGTTATTATTGTCCAGAGATTCACTACCCCTCCGATGCTTGTATGCTCATCACCTAATGAATTCAAAGACTGTCTGGTTCTTCCACCTTCTCCGTATCCTACCACTCCGATCAAAGTGAAGATCAAAGCTAGTATACCGATAAATCCATGCAAAATTGTTCTGAAAGAGTAAAAATATTTTGAATATCTTCCTGTGACGATCAGGAAAAATGAGAGCCAACCCCAGGCGATGTACATGAAAAGACCATGTATCAAGGTTTGCTCAGTGTCAACCTTTATTGTACCTTCACCGAAGGCTATATCCCTAGTAGCACTGTTCATGGAAATGCTGAAAGCTCCGAACATTCCCGCACCATGTGCAGACGAGAAGGCAGCTCCAAATCCGTAAGCATAGATCATATTTGTACTTCCATCAGCAATTACATGATCTTGAGAGTCTCCAGTGTTCAGATCTCTTTCAAAGGTATAAGTATTGATACTCCCAGAAGAAGTCACAGCAAAGTTTCTGACATTGTTTGTAGTATCTTCAGGAGGAAATGTTGGAGAGGTTGAGTATCTGTCTTTAACAGCCCAAGTTCCACTGTTCTCTATAGATATCATATCCGTGTTTGTCATCGAAGATCCAAATCCAATAGCGACCCAGTGTGAATTGGATGTTGTTATTTGCCATCTAATCGCACTCGAGCTTATTAATGTCACTGTAACATTAATGTTGTTATTGTTCAGCTGGGTTATGGCAGTATTTGCTGTATTAGCAACTTTTAAGGCCAGTACAGCAAATAAAACAAGTAAATTTGTGAACTTAATCATGATAATTAATAATAAAATTGAATGAATTAGAAATAACTTTCATTCTTAAATAAGTTTCGAGGGGTTTTGGGGTTTTGGGGTTTTGGGGTTTTGGGG